TCAAACAAAGGTTGTCTTGAAAACAGGCCCAAAATGGCCTGTGCTAAAACCCTGGTTTGGTGCCTAAGTTTCAGGGCAGGTCGATCTTATGAGGGCCTGAAAATGGCCCTCCGTTTCAGGCTGAAAAGACTCAGGGCCTGGAGGGCCCTGTTTTAGGCTGAAACGACACAGGGCCTGTAGGCCCTCGTTTTCAGGCTTTCAGGCTGAAACGACACAGGGCCTGTAGGCCCTTGTTTTCAGGCTTTCAGGCTGAAAACGACACAGGGCCTGTAGGGCCCTTATTTTCCGTCTGGTCGGGCCCTGCAGACCCGTATGGATGCGCAGTATGCCTCTCTCTGTCTCTCTCTCTGTCTCTCTCTCTGTCTCTCTTTCTCTCTCTCTCTCTCTCTCTCTCTCTCTCTCTCTCTCTCTCTTGATTCTGAATACATCCGCTGCTACTCAGCTCTACCTCCTATCACTAGCTATGAGGCTATGGCCACCTTCCCTCTCAGTGCAGTGCTTCCCAATAGGGTTCTTGCGCGCATGCTACTCGCAGATAGCGCACAAGCGCTTCAGCGACACTTCCACACTTCTCACAAATGAGCAATCTGCTTGAAATGTGGCTGGCCAGTCTTTATATTGACTTGGACTGAGCTTCAGCTCGTCCCAGCCTCCGCTTCTTCTGGTTTGACTTGGTACTGGTACCACATGCCCATGGCCTGTTTGCTTCAGAATGTCAAGGCCTGGTACTTTCCCGAATTTTCATTGGTGTGCTGCTGCTTGGGCCTGTGAGTCACGGCTTCTCACCTGTGGAACATGACTTTTGACTGTGGGATGTGACTCTTGCCTCTGGGACACGGCTTTTGCCTGGGGAAGTGTCCTTTGCCTGTGGGATATGACTTTTCAATATGAACTTTCAATATGCGACGTGAGTTTTGCTTATAGAAGGCAACCTTTGCCTCTGCGATGTGACTGTTCACCGGGTGCCTGTTGGACTTGACTCCTAAGGTACCCGACTGTGACCTTCCTGAACTGGCCTCCCTTGGCCTCCCTTGGCCTCCCTTGGCCTGAGACCTTGACCCTGAAATTCGAATTTGGGGTCTTCATCGTGGAATGCCTTTCATCAGAATCTCGTTCGTTTTTTTACGTTTTTTTTCTTTTTTTGGTTTTTGTGTTTTCAGAAAGGAGGACTGTCCCGCTACCTGTAGCTCTAGGCTCGGCAAGGCTCGGTATAGCGGTAGCGGGAGGCTTGGACTTGATAGCTGGGTGAGGTACTGGTGGTTTAAGCGTGGCTAACCAACCATCAGTGTTGTATGGGACACTCGACCCGGTTTCCAGCAGGTGGAGCTCCTTACCAATAGAAAGGAGCCCTTTTCGGACAAGAAAAAAAGAAAAAAGAAAAAGAAGGAACAGCAAGTATATCCACGATAGCGATGCTTTCACTTGTTACCTCAGGTACCTCCCCGTAAGGGCATGACCTTTTTATTTTTTTGCCTGAAACTATAGTTTGCTGTTGGGGCTGATAAGAGCATCCCCCACTAGTACACACTCTGCGCCTGGCTCCTGTCGATTGGTGGGAAGCATCATCTGCTGGAAACCGGGTCCAGCATCCCCTTCTACAGCTTGAAAAAACAGTATTAGAGGATCGTGCACTTGGCAGCATTGATTGCCCTGTCACCAGGGGATTGTCTGCCATCTGTTTGTTTTTTCAGCATTCTCTTTAGGTTGTCCTTGGGTCGCAAAAATTGCTGCCTTGATTGCCCTGATGGATGCCCATGCTGTCTCTACTGTTGCTCCCACAGTGTTACCGCCTCTTCAACATGTCCAGCTAACGACTAGCAGCCTACTTGGAAGTATTGTCCCTGGCGGTGTCCGCCTGCTGGAAACACTGCTTCCTTTGTTAGGCTTTGGTGACGGTTTTCCAGTCTCTTCCAGACCAATCCGGGACCACAACCCAGAGGGTATCCATCCCTGCTACCCTCCTTCCACACATGGTGGTCCCCTTTCAGTGTGGCTCCCCATGTCTACCCTCCTGTCCTTACAGTCTTGGTCCAGATTTCTCATCTGGGGTTCTGCACTTCCGGGTCGCCACCTTGGGCTGGGTCTGTTGTCCTCCTCTTCAGCCTGCGCGCTGGGGGTGCTTACCATTTTGTCCGGTTGCCTGCTCAAAAGAATCCGCCTCTTCAGCCTGTGAGCTGGCTGAGTTTGCGTTTTTGTCCGGCCGCCTGCTTGAAAGAATTTTCTCTGGTGGTATGCTGTTTACTGGACTAAGGACATAGGACAGCACCATCCCCTCCAACCATTGGAGCTCGATTACGGATCGTGCATGTGGAGGGAACATGTCCAGGAAGTTAGAAGGTGGTCACAGTGGGAGTGATGCTTCGATCTTCGTCCAATTGTGAAATTGAAGCTCGTAGTAGTCCCTAACGATCGATCCTTGCCGGCTTTGCTGTCGACGTAGTACATAATACATGCCCATTGAATGGTTGCTATACATCCCCCTTGCTCTCCCCCCTGGCAGCCAGTCCTCTGCAACGAGGTGTTGAGGAGTTTGTGTATCTCTGTTACGTCCTCCAGCACATCCAGGTTTTGTTTGGTTGGTCTCCATTTTGCGGTTAACTCGGTCTTAAACCACCAGTACTTGTCCCAGCTATCGTCCGCGGAAAAAAATAGAGTAGAAACATTTCTAGTCGGATGAATTTGGGCGCTCCTGTAGTGGCCCGTACATTTCCTAAAATTGTGGCTTGTATACGGGCACGACTTTAGGAAGTACTGGTGGTTTTAACTTGCTGTTTTATGATTATCTGTGAACTCTTCCCCTTCAATTATTGCACCCCCGACAACGTGTGTGCATCTTTTCCTCCACAGCGCTCAGAGAATTGCTTTTCTTCTCAAGCTGAACAAGTTATGGGTAAAGGTGGTACCTTGGAGGGGGATCCACACTCCACAAAGGAGGGCTCGCCAGTCCCAAGGCCAGTCTGCATTTGTACCCAGTTTTCTTCAGATGCGGTCCCACCATCGCCAAGTGAGTATTGCCCCCGGGTATTGGAGGAAGATGTGTTCAATGGTTTCCTGTACTGGATGGGAGTGAGGGGGCACTCACACTAGCTCTACCTGAAATGTATCTGAGCGCATTTACCTACGGACCTGGATCTATATGACCGCAATCACTGTGTTACGTCCATAAATAAGTAATAATCAAGTCCCCCTATGTGAGCACACCCTGAGGATGGTCAGTAGCTGACACTGACCGAAATGCGTCAAGAATAGTCAGGACCTAGTTGCACCCCTTGCCATTTGCCATGATTTCAAATGCATACGGACGAAGATCATGTACACATGCAGTAGAAATGTTGGTGGATAGCAAGTGGTGCAACTAGGCCCTCATCCTGGGAGCAGCGGTGTTTCTCGGACTTTTCAGGCGAATCTCGTTTTTTTTTTGTTTTCTCTTTTTCTCTCTTTTTATTTTCACTCTCATATCATGTTTTTGGCTCATGTTTCCCAGTATTTTCAAGATTCTTTTGTGAAACAAATGCCAGCAGTGTCACACTTTCAGTTTTGAAAGGGCAAAAAAAACATGTGCAGGCAACAGAATAGGATGTGGAGTTTGAAAAGGGCGATATTGGTAAAAATGGTTGTGGCCCACGTGTGATTTTGTTGCCCTTTTCAAACTCGGCGCGCGAGTTTGTTGCCCTTCTCAAACTCGGTGCCCTTTCGAAACACGGCGCGGGGGTAAAAATGCTTTTGTTGCTCTTTTGAGCTCGGCGGGCGAGTTGGTTGGCCGCGTGTGATTTTGTTGTCCTTTTCGAGCTCATTTGTGCCACAACCAAACTTTAACCCCCTCTTTTTTTTTTTTTTTTTTTTTGAGATATCATCATTGAACAGACCGGCCCCAGGTAATTCAGAATGATTTTATTCTGGTCATCTTATTGTGTCTGGATTTGAACTTGAGTCTGTATTTCAACAGTTCGTGGGTGTACCAACTGAGCTAGGCCCGACGGAATTTTCGACATTCTTTTTGTACGCAGCATTTACAATTGTTCACTGCGTGTTAATTGTGTTCACTGTGTCCATGTGTGTTCGCTGTGTGTTCACTGCTTCCCTCTCCCGCAACTCCCGATGATTTTGTAGCGCTCTTCACATATGTGCGGGGTACTATCTTCCCCTTAGTACAATGCACCCTCATAATAGCCGTACCTGAGCAGGAAGGTAGCTTGTCTACGTTCACGATGAGTGTGCATTGTGTAGGCAGTGGAAGCTACGAGGAAAAGTGGACTGCGGAGGAGAGGTCTGCCCTCAGCCCTAGTCCTTAGCACCCAAATCCAAGAGTTTTGCTGTGATGTTTCCTGTAACGGATGTTTCCTGCGTCCATTCCCTCGGTATAAGGGTCTACCTTCTCCCACTCCGCCACTTGTTCTTATGTCTCACCTGTCTTTTGCCTGGATATTGGATGGTATCTCCCCTTGGGCCATTGCTTCACTTGATGATGGGGTGGGGCAAGGCAGGAGAGCAAGAGGAAGAGAAAGGGAGAGAGAGTGAGAGAGAGAGAGAACTACAGTGGTGTCCAAATGTGTGCATGTGGCTAACATGCAAGTGTGTTGAAATGCCTGTGTGCACCGACTCATCAGGAAGCTGAACCCTCGACAATCTGCAGACTCCCCATATTGATGGTTTAGGTCATGCACCCTTTGACCCTTGTTGAAGGCAGACTGCCAGACTGTCCTTACAACGTAAAACGAGGAACACTTCAGTGTGCAGGGCATGTACGCAATTGATGTGGATGTCATAGGATAAACCAGGGACTTTATCAACAACATGGTGGGCGAATCGTTTTGCATGGGATAGCAACGGTATCAGGGTTTCAGGAATTCGACCCTGAAACAGCGCCTAGAAGAGTTATCCATGTGTGTGTGTCATAATGTACGCATAGCATACTATGCTATGAACTCCGTAACAGAACGGCCTGACTGGCCATCCACGAGATATTCACCGCAAACCATTTCACTGCATGATCCTGAAACACAATCTCCAACATTCTCATCCAACCCATTCCTGATGACGCCGCCTGCGCAGTCGCACAGCAGCCACCCCGCCGCCGGCGGCTTCGGGCCACGCTCTCGCTGGTGAAAAACTCCCAAAAGGCATCCTGAACAGTCGAGCACCACACCCAAGCACACAAGACAGCACACAAGACAGGGAAAAGACAAGAAGCAACAGCAAGGCAAAAGCAGTGAGGCAACACATCGGATGGAGGGCACGGGGGAGGTGGGCGGGCACAGCACCCAAGCAGACATGCAGTGCAGAAGACAGGCAAAAGACAGCAAGCAACAAGTAAATAAACATGCAAGTACCAAAAACCAAAACACCAAAAAAAAAAAGAGCCAGTGATGGTAGATTGTTTCGTCGGAGTTGCACCGACACATCAGGAGGCTGAACCCTTGACAATCTGTGGAATCCACATATTGATGGTTTGGGTCATGCATCCTTCGACCCTTGTTGAAGGCATACTGTCCCCACACGGGACACAGCAGCGGGCAGCAACCCAGCGAAGCACCAGGCAACACTGCAGAGGCAACACGGCTGCTCAACGCCAAAGATTAGTGCAAGGAACAACAGGGCAAGCGGACGAGCAGCTCGGCAACCGTGCAGTGAAGCGCAAGGCACCATCAACAAGGCAACCAAACTACGAGGCATGCAAGCAAAGGACGCGGAAGGCCAACGGGCCAAGCGGACGAGCCGCTCGGCAACCATGCAGTGAAGCGCAAGGCACCACCAGCCAGACAACCAAACTACAAGGCACACAAGCAACGGACACTGAAGGCCGACAGGGCAAGTGGACGAGCAGCTTGGCAACCGTGTAGTGAAGTGCAAGGCAACACCAATAAGGCAACGAAACCACAAGGCACTCAAGCAAAAGACACGGAAGGCACGGCCTGCGGATGGGCGACAAGGCAGCAGAGCAACGAGGACAACATGCGAAGCAAGCGGCATGGGCAGCAAGGCAGCGGCAGAGCGCAGACAAGGCAGCAAGGCACATCCAACACGTAGCAAAGCGGCACATCACCTACTCGCATCACGAGCAAATCCGGCAGACTGTTGGTTCCCACCATCTCCTGAGCCAGGGAATCACTCATGCGAACATCCGTCATCACCGTAGGAAACGCAGACATCCCGAACTGAGCAGCCCCCCTAAGAGTGTTGTAGGCACTCCAAACGAGGATGACAGACTGTTTGGCACTGCTCAAGCGTGCTCACTTAGACAGGCAAAAAGACACAGAGAACGCCGAGTGTGTGTGTGTGTGTGTGTGTGTGTGTGTGTGTGTGTGTGAGAGAGAGAGAGAGAGAGAGAGAGAGAGTGGAGTCCTTGAATAACGATAGCAAAGGAGAGGAAAAGAAGCATTTATTTGGATTGTAATGGATGAGAACCGCAGGAAGAGGCCACTTGAATGGCGATGCAAGCACATTCTTAGGATATACTCACACTAGGACTTCTTCGGCTGATGCACGGAACTGCAGTTGAGTACATCAACAACGGGCTGTAATTGTGGTCATGTGCATTCAGGAAAGTCCTTCTTCTTCTTCTTCTTCTTCTTCTACTTCTTCTTCTTCTTTTTAAACTATGCTACATGTTCTCTCAAATCTTTCCCTTAGACCATGCAAGTGTATAATATTATGCTGAAAAACTGAAAACACTTTAAGCACTCAGGAAGGAAAAAAAAAAAAAAAAAGCTGACAGCACGGAAACCACTGAAAACAGTGAAAACACTGAAAAGGCAAAAAGTTGGCCGTCCTGTACCACCCAGAAAAACTCTTTTTCAGTGAGTATCCTGCCGCTGCACACGCTCATTCCTTCTTTTCTGTATCTATATGAATAATTATTAAAGGAAGAAGCGGTCCTCATAAGACGCTTCCCACGGTCCCAGCATGATCGTTCCATGGGACAGCAGGTGTCCTGCGAATTCTGTTTGTGGGTAGGAAGTTTTTTCCACCTGTCGCGGGGTCGAGGCTGTCTCCGATGAGCCCCTCTATGTATCCTCGGTCGCTGGATCGAATGCAGGTGCGCCATGCAATTTTGTTTGGTTTTGTTCTCTTTGTCGTTTAGCAGTCCTGTGGCCGAGGTGCACTTTTTATTCGCCTTTCAGCCGGTCACTATTTTGCTGGGTAGCACAGCAGTGCCGGCCGGATTACGTGACCGGAATATCCGGCCTTATCATCCGGCATCCGGTTTATCCGGATTTCCGGGGGGAAAAACGGAAAAAGGGCCAGAAAAACCGGGGGAAAAAAAAGGTTTGCGCGCAGAGAGGGCTACCTGCGTTATGAAACTTGAAGGCTTTTGGCCCAAAACAGTTTGTTGGCCAATCCGCCTCTTCTCCACCTCCTCCCTCCTACTCTCGTACTCCTCCTCCTCCTCCCTCTCTTCCTCGTCCTCGTCGACCTCTTCTTCGTCGTCCTCCCTCTCATCCTCCTCCTCCTCCTCCTCCTTCTTCTCCTCCTCCTCTTCAACGAACGATTGGCAAGTCTGTAACGCAACCAGCCCCCCGAACCCTTTTTTTATTTTTTCTAATCAATCAATAAAAAAAAAGGGAAAAAAAAATCCAATTGAATCGGTCAATTCGATTGGATCTTCATATCAATCAATCAATCAATAAAAAAAAAAACGAAAAAAAAAATCCAATCGATTCGATTGGATCTTGATATAGATCAAGATTCGATCGAATTGACTGATTCGATTGGATTTTTTTTTTTCGTTTTTGTTTTTGATTGATTGATTGGATTGATTGATTGATTGGTCGATTAATAAAAAAGAAAAAAGGGTTCGGGGCTGGGCAGCGGGTGAGGATGGTCTTGGCAAGACTGCCCGCCTCCCGCTCCCCTCACTCGACGCCCTCCTCCCGTGAACCTCCTTTCGCCTCCTCCTCCTCCCTCTCCACCTCCTCCCTCCTACTCTCCTACTCCTCCTCCTCTCTCTCCTCCTCATCCTTGTCCACTTCTTCGTCGTTCTCCCTCTCGTCCTCCTCCTCCTCCTCCTCCTCCTCCTCTTCTTCGTCCTCCACCTTCTCGCCATCCTCCTCCTCCTCCTCCTCCTCCTCCTCCTCCTCCTCCTCCTCCTCCTCCTCCTCCTCCTCCTCCTCCTCGACGAACGATTTGCAAGTCTGTATCGCAACCAGCCCCCTGAACCCTTTTTTTTTTTTTTTTAATCAATCAATTAATAAAAAAAAAACGAAAAAAAAAATCCAATCGAATAAGTCGATTCAATTGGATCTTGATATTGATCAATATGCAATTGAATCTTTTTTTATTTTTTTATTTTTTATTTTAACACCCCCCCACCAGTGCTAGTGGTGCTGCTAAGAGCAGACAATCGACTGATTCGATTGGATTTTTTTTTTCGTTTTTTTTAATTGATTGACTAATAAGAAAGAAAAAAGGGTTCGGGGCTGGGCAGCGGGTGAGGATGGTCGAGGCAAGACTGCCCACCTCCCGCTCCCCTCACTCGGCGCCATCCTCTCGTGACCCCCCCTTCGCCTCATCCTCCTCCCTCTCCACCTCCTCCCTCCTACTCTCCTACTCCTCCTCTCTCTCCTCCTCGTCCTCGTCCGCCTCTTCTTCGCCGTCCTCCTTCTCGTCGTCGTCGTCCTCCTCCTCCTCCTCCTCCTCCTCCTCCTCCTCCTCCTCCTCATTTCTTCGTCCTCCTTCTTGCCATCCTCCTACTCCTCCTCCTTCTCTCTCTCCTCCTCTTCAACGAACGATTTGCAAGTCTGTATCGCAACCAGCCCCCCGAACCCTTTATATTTTTTTATATTGGTTAGCAGTTATGGTACAGTTCCTGATTACAGCCCTAGGGCCTCAATCAATCAATCAATCAATCAATCAATCAATCAATCAATCAATCAAAAAAAACGAAAGAAAAAATCCAATCGAATCAGTCGATTCGATTGGATCTTAATATCAAATCGATAATTTTTTTTTTTTCGTTTTCTTTTATTGATTGATTGATTGATTTAAAAAAAAAAAAAAAAGGTGCGGGGGCTGGGCAACGGGCGAGGATGGTCAATCAATCAATCAATCAATCAATTAATCAATCGATAAATAGAAAAAGTAAAAACTAGTATTCAATCGAATCAATCGATTCCATTGGATCTTGATTTCAAAATCAAGATCCAAAGGAATCGATTGATTCGATTGAATACTAGTTTTTCGTTTGTTTGTTTTTTTTGGGATTGATTGATATAAAATGAAAAACAAAGGGTCAAGGGGTTGGGCGGCGGGTGAGGGGGGTCGAGGCGAGCCTCCACAAAGTTGAGGAGGAGAAGGAGGAAAAGGAGGAGGAGGGGGAGAAGGAGGAGGAGGAGGAGGACGACGACGAGGAGGAAGAAGAGGAGGAGGAGGAGGGAGGAGAGCATGACGGTGATGAGGAGGTAAGGAGGAGGAGGAGGAAGAGGTGGAAGACGAGGAAGACGAGGAGGAAAGGGTCGAGGCCGACGAGGAGGGAGGCGATCACGACGACGATGAGGAGGAGGGGGAGGAGGAGGAGGAGGAAGAAGAAAAAGAAGTAGAAGACGAGAACGTGAAGTAGGAAGAGGAGGACGAGGAGGAGGAAGAAGAGGACGAGGAGGAGGGAGGAGAGCACGACGACGATGAGGAGGGGGAGGAGGAGGAGGAGGAAGAGAGGGAGGATGAGGAGGAAAGGGCCGACGCCAACGAGGAGGGAGGAGAGCATGACGCCGATGAGGAGGAGGGGGAGGGGGAGGAGGAGAAGAAAGAAGAAGAAGTAGAAGACGAGGAGGGAGGAGGAAGAAGAAGAAGTAGAAGACGAGGAGGAAGAGGAGGAAGAGGAGGAAGAAGAGGACGAGGAGCGAGGAGAGCACGATGACGATGAGGAGGAGGAGGAGGAGGAGGGGGAAGAGGAGGAAGATGAGGAGGAAAAGGCCGAGGCCGAGGAGGAGGGAGGAGAGCACGACGACGATGAGGAGGGGGAGGAGGAGGAGGAGGAAGAGGAGGGAGATGAGGAGGAAGAGGAGGCAGAGGTGGAGTGGGGTTAAGGGGGAGGACAGGCATCACCTGGAGGAGGAGGAGGTCCCCGTCGAAGGCGTTCAAGGCCGGCGGCGATGGCTCCAGCACCAAAGCAGCAGGGAGGCGGGGCAGCTGTCCGGCAACGCCAAAGCACGGGGGGGCGAGCAGCGGGTAGTGTGGCAATGGGGCAGCGGGCCGTTGGTGGGGAGGGACGGGGGGCAGGCCACTACACTGTGCGCAGTTCGAAACCGGGGCTGCGCGATTTCGAATTAAAAAAAAGGCCCGGTCTGGGTCGTTGATCGACGATGATCCACGGCCCAGATCGGGCCTTTTTTTTTTTCAAAACCGGTAGGCCGCCATCACAATCTGAAAGCGGGAGGGTGTTCAGGCTGCCACCCTCTACCCCGCCTCACCCCCAGATGCGATTTCCGAGCCTTGCGCATATTTTGCGCAGGCCCCGGAAAATGTATTTCCGGTAATATCCGGGGCCTTCTTTCCGGCTGGATGAACCGGATTATTGGAGGCCCGCCGGATATGCGGAAATTCTACTTAGCTATTTTGAGGAACTTCCACATGGGATAGCGGAGCGCGGGCTTTCTCGCACTTTGCAGTTCCACAAGGGGTTGCTATTTGGAGGCATTTCAATGGGAGATACTTTCCTGCATGTTTGAATACAATTACGAAGTATGCACAAACACATGCACAAAACAAGGAAAATGTGGTGGTGTATATTCCCATGTTCTAACGCAAGATTCATTCTCATTTTGGTCATAGTGGACTGAGAGTCGTTTCAGAATGTATCTGGAAAACATGCGCATGGTTAATATTCCCATGTCCTTGCGGAAGATTCATCCCCTTTCGGTCATAGTGGAGCTAGACTCGGTTTTGGTATGTATCTGACTACAGCTCCTTAGGGTATATGTTCAGACTCGGATATTTCTTGAATGTATATGAGTGCAGTTATGGGAGGAGAGCTCCGTAGGCCATACTCGCATTGGGATTTATTTTGAATGTATACTCATACTGGGATTTTTTGGGGCATACTCACGCCAGGACTCGGTGCACGCTCACACGAAGGCTCGGGGCACACTCACACTAACTTTTTACCCACATTGCTGCTTAGGGCACACTCAATGTTATAACTCGTATGCAGAATTGAGCCACTGGGCTCCAATCGCGTCCTCAACACCCCAAAAACAAGCGCGAACGGGCAGGCCTAAAAAACAAGGTTAAACAGGCCATAGGAAGAGGCCCAGTCCGATAGTTGACCGAAATGTCAACAGTCAACTCGTGGACCTAGGCCCAGATCCGAGAAGTCAATGTCAACACATAAGATTTCGTGGTCGTCGATTTGGAATGATCTAACGGTGGTCTGCAGGTTCCGGAAGATTCAGGCCTTAACAAGTCCAGACCAAAACTGGGACAAATTGCATCAGAGTCATCGACATTCGGACTATCCAAGGCCTCGCTCAGACAGAAGCTGACCCCGAACAACGCGAGTCAACACTATATAGAGTTGACCTTACCACTGCTTTGACATTTAGTTTTGCGAGTTGCTTGCGGCTTCAACGTTGCCCGTGAGACTTGAGAGGAGGATGTTGGCGTCAGGCTGTTTCGTGGGCACCAACCAGATGCTGCAGTATGAGCGGAGAGAGAGGAAAAGGCAGTCATTGTTGCGGACGTAGATTACGGTGAGGTAGTGAGAAGAGAGAGAGAGTGTGGGCAAGGTGTGATGTCATGCGCGCGTACGTGGTCTCGCGTGATGTGATGTTGTTGTGGATACTGCTCGTTGTTGAAGGATCGTTCATCTGTGAGTGTCTGCATTTACATCATCCACGTGTCATATTGTGTAAAGATCAGTGATGTGGCAAAGGTGGGGAAACCTCGAGGAGAAGAGGGAATTGATTGCTACGATATTTTTCTCTCTCCATTTGTGTTTTCTTCCCCCCTTTCTTTTATAATCTGGATACTCGTGACTTGGAGACTGTACACGTGGTAATGAGGGATCATGTACTTCAATGACTTCGAATTGATGGACTTGCTGAAACGATTATCTCACGACGTTGTACGACATTGCTATCTCACGACAGTGTTCTATGATGACACGTTTGATTGACGAGATTGAGCTCATTACAATTTGGTATCACAGTTAAGTCACCTCATCTCGCCGATTTGCTGCTCGATGGAAGACGGCCGCGCTATTCAAGTTTGACGATATCACCATGATAGAGTGTCGACGTGGCACCTGGAGAGTGGTTTTAACCATATGCTCGTGTCCATAGGGCACTCGATGGCTGGTTTTCGCAAGTGAATAAATTGCTAGGATAATCTCTCTCTGAAAGGAGTGCTAACGTGGCAAAGGTAGAATGGTTCTCACCATATGTCGGTGCTGACGTGACACTTGCAGACTGGTTCCCGTGAGGGAATAAATCGTCAGTAAATGCGGCGTTAATTAAAGAGCGTTGAAGAGGATGATAAAACAAGCGTTAGCATGGCATATTGACTAGTGAGAGCACTGTTGACGTGGCATATTGACTCTAGAGCTTTGCTAACGGGGCATATTGCCTGACGAGAGCATTGCCTACATGGCATACTGGCGAGAGCATTGTCGGATTAACGAAGGCATTGCTGACATGTCATCAGGGAGAGAGAATTGTTGTGGTTGTTAAGAATAGGCTTACGAGGGACCAGAGGACTAATGGGATGATGTCTCCCATTGAGCGTTGACATGCGACTACGTGTTTTGAACTTTGATTGGCATTAATGTGGTCTTACCTCGTCGGTGTATTGATTGATGCCGACGTGGACTTACCTGTGCGGTTTTCTGACGTTGTTTTGCATGTGGACTAACTATTGATGATTCTTGATCGAACGGCCAGAAGAAATCCACACACATTAGTAGTCAACATCATAAGCAGCAAAGCATATTGGAAATATATATATATATATATATAATATAGATTGAGACCTTGATATTCTATTTTTATTGGATTTTTTTTTTTTTTTCCGAATTTCTTACGAGACTGCGGAACAGGTAATTGCATAATCCGATTATGCAGTAACTCCAAGGATGATATCCATGTGGAACCATTTGCGGTTGTCTGTTCTGGCTAAGTTCATCCCCTTGTTTTTCAATCCGGTCTCACTGACCATGTACGCAAGCGAGGAACTACGTATACGTGAGCAAGTGAATGCCCGCAAGGAGGAGGAGAAGTTGGAACTTCATTAGGTCCTCACAAAAATCCGCAAGGCTGGCTCGGAAGCGGGAAATCATTTTCAGAGTCAATTCGACCTTCACAGTTTCGAAAAGTAGTTGGACAAGGTTGAGACGGGAGTTGACCTGGTCTTAGCCAGGGCCCATCACAGTGTGTATCAATTTGTTGTCGAAATGCTAGCTTGAAATACCAAGGACATTGAAGAAAAGGACTTAAGAAAAGAAGAAGAAACAAGCGGGGAAAACAAACAATAATTAAATGAGGATGAAATTTATCATAATAGCAGACGGTATAAGAATCATTGCAGGTAGAGAAGAGGAAGAAGAACAATAAAGGAAAAAGAGAGGAGGAAAAAAGAAAAATGAAAGAAGATAAAAATAAAAAAAGGAAGTGATGGTGCAACTATTGTTTAAAATTTGATATCTTATTTGGTTTATGTGGAGATGAAAGTAGACCAAGTCATTGCCGATAAATTATTTTCTTTTTAATTGGTTACGTTGACGAATGCGGTTAAACAAAAGCATCCGATGACCAGAGAAGAACAGGAAAAATTCGGAGAAGAACCGAAGTCTGAACCCATGAAAAATTGATGGGAGATGCAATAAAATCCACCCGAAATATGAAACTCCAAAAAGAGAAGTGAAGAGGGAAAAAGTAAAAATGAAACTTTCATTCACATTCGCCGGAATAGCCGAAGTCCAAACAAACTGCTCTACGACCCCGGTCGTCAAAGATAGTCAAGTGGCGTTCACCACCTCATGTTTTGGTGAAGACGCTAAAGCATGGGTATTGTTAGAAGTGAATCCCACCGGATTTGAGTTTATTGGGGATTGGGCGAAGACTCTAAGTTTGAGAGAATTTATGAAGAAAAAAGAAAAAAAATTCTAAGTAAGACCACAGCAGACAAGGTTTTTGAACCTCTGTTGTTGCTGTCTCTCGTGAAGTGGATCGTTTGATGCAGGTATCAGGATTGAACATCCGTGATGACCAGGTTCTCTACATCTACTCACGAGCTTTACTTGAACCTATCCGTGATAGCTGGTTGCCGAGTCGAAATTATAGGCAATTTCGGGATGTCACTATGCAGCGAGAACAGATGATGTCGCAGGTGAAGAACGTTGGGGTTACCAAGACAGGGTAAGGGAGTGGACAAGGGAAACGGATGCTATGAAGGCAGAAACGATAAGACCACACCCTTGTCGTTTTTTACGACGAGACCACAAAAAGGCGGCCCTCGAAGGAAGCGAGGGACAAGCAAGTGCGGGCGGGGAATTGGGAAACTTGAAGGGTGATGTCACCGCCGCAGTTGTCGGCAAGGGTGGCAACAATAACAGAAATGGTCATGGATAAAGGAGGAGACCGCGTTTCTTTTCAGCTCAATCCAGGTATAGGTTTCGGAAGGCCTTGGGATAAAATTGGTATTTTCGAGGGCATATGGCAGGAGAGGAGGATAACTATCAATACCCGAAGTGCGGCACTGAGGGGCATATTATAACATGGTGCCCTCTAATGAGGAACCTGAAAGGGAGCAACTAGTAGGAGTATCATGTGCTCCTATTGAGTCGAAGGGTGCAGACATAGACCTAATGCCGAAATCCTTTTTCCACCCTTCAGCTCCTATGGCAGAGGATGTATCTTCCTTGGTCCCTCACTCTGACCGCCCTAAACTTGTGATGTGTAGAGTTCCTCTGAGTGAGACCCTTGATGAGCTTGGCACTGAACTCATTTACCTACTAAGCTCATGGGCTAAGAAGGTGGAAGTCTAAGGACAAGTTGATGCTTGCAGACATAGAGATTGCAAGGACACAGACAGATGCTCTGTTAGACTCAGGCTCGACTAGATCATGCATATCCAAAGACGCTGTAAGGAAAATGCATTTGGGTATGCGAGTGAAGAATCTAGCAAAGCCTATTGTCTCTATGTTGGTAGATCGCAGTACCATCACGGTTTTCCAGTGTGTGGAAAACGTGGAGTGTTACTTCAGGACTCATGAAGGTAAGTGTATCCTGCATGAAGTAACCTTCTTGATTGTAAAAAAAATATCGTTCGATTTGATCTTGGGAATGGATTGGCAAGAGGAAGCAGACCCTGAGATCAAATGTAAGGAGAAAACTGTGAAAATTAAGAATAAAATAATGAATTCGAATCAATTAAATTATATCACAAATCAGGTTTTGACTCTACATTATTTTTTTTTTGTATGAGTCTTCATGTGTTTCGATCGACAGTTGTGGATAAGAAGTTGGCACAGGAGGTGATGATGGTGTTAGTAAAAATTGTCGACGAATGTTCCTTCTCCTACCCTCCTTCCATTGAAAATTTACTTGACGAATATAAGGATCTGCAGAATGAACCAAGGGGATAACTGAAAGGAAGTTAAAACATATCATTGAGATTATTCTCGGAAGTAAATTATCAAAGGACCAATCTATCGTATGTCCCCGAATAAACTTGATGAATTAAGAAAACAACTGCAAGAACTAACTGACAAGGGATGAATCAGACCATCTTTTCTCCTTATGGGGCTCTTGTTTTGTTTGTTCTAAAAAAGGAAAAAGAGTTACGGCTCTGCATTGACTATCGAGGGTTGAACGCAGTCCCTGTTAAGAATGTTGAACTTCTTCTAAATCAACTGCAAGTATGCAAGTACTTCAGTAAAATTGACTTAAAGTCCGGCTATCACCAAATTGAGTTAGCCCCTGAAGATCAACACAAGACGACCTTCAGAACAAGGTTTGTTCACTATGAGTTCGTCTTGATGCCCTTTAGGTTGATTAACGCACTTGCTACCTTCTAAAGGTCAATGAATTAGTTTTTCAGGGAATGTTATGACCATTTTGTAATAACATACCTTGATGACATTTTAGTTTTTAGCAAGACACTGAAATACCATGGAAAGCATCGGCGTTTAGTCCTACAAAAATTGAGAGAAGGACAATTCAAACTGAATTCTAAAGAGTTCGAATTCGCAAAGTCTGAAGTTTATACCTATGACATATTGTGAATGAAGATGGGTTGAGCCTAGAGGGAAAAGAAATTGTTGCTATTAGAGATTGGCCTAAACCGAAAACTTCAACTGACTTGCGTTCCTTTCTTGAACTGGTCAACTATTTTAAGAAGCTTGTTAGAAATTTCTCCTCCATAACTGCCCCAATGAGGAAACTCATGAAGAAATAGATTATTTGGCTTTGGGATAAGGACTGTGAATCCGCATTGAAAAAGTTAAAGTATGCGCTTACTCACTACCTTGTTCTGAAATTGCAGACTTATCCTTATCTTTTGTTGTGACCACTGACGCAAGTAAGTACAGGATTAGGGTTGTACTGCAGCAAAGTGATGGGAAGGATTATCGACCAATTGAGCTTATGTCATGTCGACTACCTAGAGACAAGGTAACAAACTCAACCTATGAGAGAAAATTGTTTGTCTTGCTGCAAGCTTTAACGATATGGAAGTACTACCTCATAGGTAGATACTTCAAAGTTTATTCAGACCACTAGACTTTGAAGTGGCTTAAGACGTAACCTCGTCTTACTAACAAGCTTGCCAGATGGTCGGCTATCATTGATACTTATGATTTTGAGTTAAAAAGCATAAAGGGTAAGTACAATATGGTAGTTGAGGCTCTCTCACGCAAATGTGACTTCTTTGGAACAATTGTCACCTACTTAGACATAGGAAACGACCCGAAGGATAAGATTCGAAAAGGATATGTCACTAACCCAATTTGGCAACCTTTTATAGGTAATATGAAATCTAATCGTAAACGTTTCCCTGACCACCGAATGGCAGACGAAATAATTTTCCTCATTGATGAAAATTAACAAATAATTTATGTTCCTCATAATGAATCTAAAAAAAGTATAACGTCCTTCAGGACATCCATTAAAATTGGAACGATACAGAGAAAAACGATTAGCATTGGCCCTTGCGCACTGAAGGATGACACACATAAATTGAGAAATGGTCCAAATTAAAAAAAAAAAAAAAGTATAATTTTTTGTGAGTGTCATGACACAGAGGGACATTTTGGGTTAAAAAAAAGTTTTTTTCAATATCCGCAAACACTTTGTTTGGCGAGGAATGAAGAATGACATACTAGCGTAAATGAAAACTTACCTTGTGTGTCAGCGCAACAAGTCATCCTACGAAAGTTTATGAGGGGCTGCCTTGGTAACAACCATTTGTATTTCAATTTCATAGTTTTTTATGAGGTTGCACTGGGAGTCGGTGCTTGTTATATCAAATTTGCACCCTTGGGACAATTGAAACCACTATCGATTCTTGAAAGACCAGGTGAGTCAATTTTTGTCGAGTTGATGAGCTTAATTTAAAGTTAAAATGAAAACAATAAGGTAATGGTAATCGTGAACCGATTCTCTAAGTACGTGATGTTTGTACCCTTGCCCGCTGAAGCAAAAATAAAACTTATCACTTAAAAGTTGCAGATGCGATGAGTTTCTAAGTATGGATTCCCTTCAACCATTGTTGTCTGATAGAGATGTGAGATTCACTAGGGAACAATGACAAAAATTGATGGAAGTCTATGACACTAGGTTGAAAATGTCATCAGAACGACATTCTCAGACGAATGGTCAAGATGAACAAATGAACAAGTTTTGTCAACAACTCCTACGTATGTATGTTTGTCCTTACCAAGTTAACTAGGATGGGAATCTACTTAAAATTGCAAGTGCATACAACAACAAAATACATATTGTTACAGAGCGAATACCCAATGCACTGCACAAAGGTTGGCAACCTTTGAGACCGGTTGACTCTCTAACGACAGATCAAATCTAAAGGCTGCCCCAAAAAACCCGATAATTTGCAGCTTTGTATGAGCAAGATATTGACAAGGTGAAAGATAAGTTAAGGAAAGTCCAACAACAGATGATTGAACAGGTAAATAAGCACTGAAGGTCTGCGCAGTTCAAAGAGGAAGACATGGTATGGGTTGAATTTAATGAATTCTCACTTTAAGGAAGTGTCTCGCAGAAACTGTTTCTTGCCTATTACGGACCCTCAAAAGTTTTCAAAGTGATAGGCGATATCAGCGGGCATTCCTACCGAATTGATATAACCCCTAATCTAAGAGCTTACCCAGTCTTCCATGCCTCTAAGTTGCTAACCTACACTGAAAAACATAAATTTTCAAGTAGACCATTTTCATTTCCTCCTTCCATGAATGACCGGTACCAGGTCGAGAGGATAATTGAACATGGGTTCTTCTCCACATGTTGTACGATAATTTGTGGGTGTGCTCTAATGTTACACACTAACACTTTTAGTTGTAACAGGAACACTAAAGGGGTTAAAAATGGCATCTCTGCCTCAGAGGCCGAGAGAGAGAAAATTGAGATCATGCCAGTCACTAGAATTGAGGATACGGAGGTACTGTATATACCTGCTATTGCTTCAAAAAACTTGGGTCCAAAGCCCAAGTGCTTCAGCGTACTGATCGTGTAAGCCCTGTTAACGAGGTCATACTATTTTTCTAAGTCAAACAATAAGACTATCAAATTTTGGTTGCTGCATTGAATAATTTTAAGAGATTCTGACGCTATGACAACATGATCGAACATCGACCTACCCCTAACAAAGGCAGCTTGATCCCTATTTATCATGTAAGGAAGGCAGACTGTAAGTCTCCTGGCGAGTATTATTGCCAGGATTTTGTAACGTACATCCAGGAGGGAGATTGGTCTTCAATTCTTTATGTCTGGCTTATTACCTTTCCCATAGGATATTTGAGGTGTGTTAGGGGTCCCTGAAATTATTGCGTTGGAGCAAGACGATCCCAGTGATGAAGATAAAATTCGATGGGCAAACCGTCTTTTACGGGAGTTTTCCCTTTGACCATAGTCATGGCGGCTTCCTTCATTTTCTCCATACAGATTGACATGTTAAGTTAGTTTTTGCCCGATCCTTTGAGTCTTGTCGTTATGTACTCCCAGTGGTTGGAGGCATAGGATAAATCTTGGTTTATATCTTTATTTAGGCATCTGGAGGTAAGAATATCTTTGAAATAAAGAATAGCGCATTCACACATACCCTGAAGCGAGTCAGCAGGGTTGTTGACCGGGATGAACTTGTGTTGCACGGTGGTTATGAATTAGACAACAGATTTAGGAGTCAGTCTCTGGTCATTCTGTCATATACCGATATACCTTTTATCCTTAGTTTTTCGCTCATATCTCCGATTTATTGATATGCTGGTTGTCCCACTCCTCGGGTATCTTAACTTTTTTTTATGCCCATACAACTGCAGAGATCAGGTAGAATATCATTTTTTTTTCAATTCGACTCATTCTGTATCTTATCCTTTGCTCCTCGTTGTTCCGTTTAGCAGTAAGAATTATGGAAAACACACTAAGAAGGTTAGATGTGAAGACAATGCTGGTATCCCACCACGCCTCAAGATTCTAAAATCATGATTTGTCTGATTCCCAGTCTCCCCAGAATCTAAACACTTAATATGTCAAACCCAATTCTGCTGCCCTCAGTGATTGCAGAGAACCATGTAGTGCCTTTGTCTGATGGGTACATAAACCGAAAGGAATCCTAGTTCTATCATGTAGTCAAGTAAGGTGGTTGTATCTCATGCACCTGACTGTGACATCCAAGTGATCTAATGTACAATTCCAGTCGCCCATAATCAGTAGGTTATCTATATCTTAGTGTATAAGACATTAACTCAAATAAATAATTACGTTGTTTCATCCTTTTGAACGGAGTACAAATTATTATTACCACATAATCCACTTCATTCCGATACAATTTTACCCAAGTTCATCTTTCTTAGATGTCTATATCCCAAACTACAATCTGTACGTCTAGTTGTCAGTGTATAAGTATGCATACTCCTCCTCCGTGCCTCTGGCCAAAGTCCATAACCGTATGTCATCCCACCAGACGCCAAGTGCTTCAATTTTCTCCTCATCCAACTTGGTTTCTTGGATCAACATCCTTGAGCTTTGTGGTTGTGAATCCATAATTTCAGCCTGGCCCTTTTTGCTCTCCTTGTTGTGTCCCCTAGTCCACGGACGTTCCATGTGATAATCCTAAGGTTGTTCATGATTTGCTTATGTCACCGGTTTCTGCTGGATACGATCCGATGCAGACTGATCTCCCATGTTGCTCGATGGCTGGTTGTTTCTGCCTTGCATTCTGATCACATGTGGAGTCTGCAGGTTGGGGCCACTTCCGCATAAGCACACTCCTGATTAAGATTGAGTCGAATTTCTTATCCGTATGAAGTTTGTCATTCAAACCAACAAGAAACTTTGTGGGGATTATTTGGCTCACTTTGATTTCGTTCAAACCTCCCGCCTTGTTTTCTATCAAAGTTGAGATAGGAATTGGTTTGGGACCGTTGTCCGAGAGCCCCTGAAAGTTATCAGGAGGAATTAATGCGTCCAGTAAACAGGGTACTTAATTTTACGGTCTTGTATGTCAACATAAAAACGTTGAGTTATGATTTATGGAATTAGCCACAAGCCAATGAGCTCCCAGAAACTTTGTTTTGCTTCAACGAGCATCATATTCAATAGGATTTGTTTTTCAACGCTCGAAAAGTGAAAGGAGACCGATAACCAAGTAAGAATTTGTACCGAGTCATTGAATAGCACCAAAGCGAAAGGTAACAATTGTTTCTCCAAGTTTTTAATTGTTGTTTGCCAATCATAAGCGTTATGCGGTCCCTTGTCATTTTTTTCCCCCATGTGTTGTTGAGAAGACGATGTTGCTTGTTTGTTCGCCTTATGCAATCATTCAGAACTGGCTACCGATGTCTGAGGGCACTCCGCAAAAAAATTACGATCTTCGATAACTCCGCTGGTGCCTTCCGCTCGTTACTCTTGAACCGTATTTCTTGCCACCTTTAGTGGACATCTCTCTCTCAAATCCCTTTGCGCATTGGAGATAAGACCATCTTGGGTAGTTTTTGA